CCAAGAGGCAGAGCCACTTGCCCAAGTCTGCGCAGAGGATAAGGGCGGGACAGAGGTCACCCTGGGGCTGTTGGCTTTTGGCTCGGACCCCACGCCTTTAATCTCCACCCAGGCTGACGCCGCCCAGGCCAAGTGGCCGGTGGGCAGCGGCACCGGCGTGGCTGACCCTTCCCTCCCACCTGCTCCTTCCAGGGGCTCAGCCCCAGCCAAGGCCTTCCGGCCCAGGGGTCAGAGCGCGAGGACCGGGGAACCCCTGGGCCTGTCCGGGGACTCTAAGCTCCCACCCCTACCCCAGTGGGCAACTCAGGCCACCTCTCCTGTGCACGGACCCCCCGAGGCCCTGCCGCAGCCCTCAGCCCTCAGCCCTCAGCCCGGGCCCTGGCACCTCTGCCCAGAGGCGCCCAGGCCTGGGGAGAGCCCACCTCGCCTTCAGAGCTGCCTGAACCCCCAGTCGCCCAGCTGCCCTGGCACTCCTGGCAAACAGAGCTGACCCGCTGAGCCCCTGGCAGAGGCCTGTGATGTGGGCCCTTTCCGCCCACCGCCACCAGCTTCTCCCCAAGAGCACCGGCACACGCAGACCTCACCCCAGCCGGGGGGCACCTCCGGCCACCTCCCCGCCCTTCCCAGCCCTTCCCACACTCCAGGAGGGAAGCCACGGGGACAGAGGGCTGCCCCAGGAGCCTGACTCTGTCCTCTTTGCCTTGGCCAAAAGCGTTTCTGTCACCTGCCCTTCTGGAAAGTCACGCCATCCTCACTGCACTGCCCACCGGCTGGGTGGCCCTGGGCCTCCCTGGGAACAAGGGGCTCCCAGCAGGAGCACCCCTTCCAGCTCGGCTTCCAGCCAGTCCTGCCATGGTGCCCCTGTCCATGCTGCTCCCTGCCCAGCGTGCAGGGGAGCGTGTCCCACCGCCCCATGGGGATGCCGGAGGAGCAGCCAGACAGCCGGCGGGGCAGCTCAGGGCAGAGAGGAGCCCGGGGGTGGGGCCCACGGAGGGCACCGCGCGACCCCGTCGGGAGCAGCGCCTGCCTCTCGCTCAGGCCCAGAGCCCGCACGGTCTCTCCCGGGCCCAGGCGCCTTGGGCTCCCATGGGCGGCTCCTTCATGAGCGTCAGCCTGGCCCGCAGCCCGGCCACCGCGGCTCTCTCTCGGGGGAAGAGCCACCTGTCGGGCGGGTTGGGGTGGAACTTCAGGTGCCGCGACTCAGGCTCTCCCGGGCCCTCCTCGCCCGCCGGCCCCAGGAGGCCGGCTCGGAGTCTTACCGCCCAGGGCCCCGCTGCAGCATCGAGGCTGGCACAACCAGCAGAGCAGGGCCACCGGACACGTCCCCAGGGCGAGGGCGCAGCCCCAGGACTGAGCTCAGACTCTGCCCCCATCCCCCTGGGCGGCCGGGGGCATGATGTGACCTCCTTGGGCCTCAGTTTCCCCACCTGGAGGATGGTCTCTGCAGTGTGGTCGGTTACGGGCTGTGGTGACGGTGTTGGTGGTGGCCTCTGAACTCACGCCCTGGCCTCCCCCGGCCTCTGAACTCAGCATCTTCTCTCCCAACCTGCAAGGTCAGCTGACCCGGAGACGGGGACTCTCCCGAGCCCCCGCATTCCCAGAGCCCTCATGCCCCTGGCACGGAGCCACCGAGCGGCACCCCCGCTTCCACAGCCAGCACTCTGCATGTCCCAGAGCCCAGGCGGGTCTGAGAAACGGGTTCAGGGAGCCCCGCCCTCCACTGCGCCCAAGCTGCCCTGCCCTGCCGGCTCCGGCTCCGCCGACCCCGCAGGACACAGGACCGCGCTCTGTCCTCCAGCCGGGCTCCGTCCTCCACGAGGAAGTTGAGGCTTCCCCGGTGCCCCCACTCTTGACCCCGGGTTTGAGGACGCACTTTCTGCTTCCCTGTGCAGCCCCAGCGCTGTGCTCGCCTGGCTCCTGGCTTCTTTTGGGGTCACAGGGCCTGCTCCCCTCAGTTACAGCACCCCCGGGGCACCTGCCACCCCCACTTGCAAGAGCCCAGAGCAGTCATGCCTCTGCAGCGCCTGGCACCTGGCGGGTGTGAATGCAAAGCAGACTGGCTTTCAGGTCTGGCTCCGCCCTGCAGTGTCGCTGGCGATGGCAATGGGGCAGGGGGAGGAGCCTTTCCCTCCATTTGGCAGCTGGTCTTTGGGGGCTTCTCCACCCATGCTTCTGTCTTCGGGGCAACCTTTGAAATGCGGAACACACGGGTCCCCTCAGGTGGCCATAGCAGGATTCAGGCACGGCCCTGGGATGGGGCCCAGGGGGTCTGAGCAGAGGTTTCGAGGGCCAGCAGAGTGCATCCTGGTGGGGCAGGTGGAGGACGAGAGCAGATGCAGTGGCCCAGGTGATGCTCTGTGGCCTGGTGGCGGTCCCCTGGGGGTGGTCCCCTGGGGGCGGTCCCCTGGGGGCTCGGGCAGGGGCACACATGTTGGAGGGGGGAAAGATGAGATTCTGGGTGTCCGTGGAAGGCAAGCCAACAGTCGCTGCTGAGGGGTCAGTGTGGGGTGCCAGGAGGGGAGGGGTCAGGAGTGCCAGGGGCCTGGCCATCTGTCTGTGGGGTCTGGCGCCCCCCAGTTTCTCACGAGGAGGACCAGGAGGCGCCACCTCCCCCTGACCAGGAGGGGAGACCCAGAAGGGAAGAGAAAGGCCCCAGGCTGGCAGGGCGGGACCCGCTCTGCCCTCTGTGAGAATTGGGGCCCAGGCCCTCGTCCACACGAGGGGGCCGGCAGCAGACCCCAGCCCTGCGGTGCTGACGGGGGGGCTTGGCTCAGCCTCAGTAAATGCGGGCCGGGGTCAAAACTCACATCCACAGCTACTAGGACCCGAGGCGGGCACCGGGGAAAGGGACACTGGGGCCTCAGCACCACCAACACACACACAGACACACACACAGACACACACAGCACCACCAACACACACACAGACACACACAGCACCACCAACACGCACACAGATGCACAGCACCACCAACACACACACACAGACACACACAGCACCACCAACACACACACAAACACACAGCACCACGCAGGGAGCACATGCACACACCACCACTCATGGAGCACGCACACACACACAGCTGCACACACACCACGCATGGAGCACATGTACACACACCACCATGCGTGGAGCACGCACCTGCACACACCACCACGCATGGAGCACATGTACACACACCACCACGTGTGGAGCACGCACCTGCACACACGCATACACACACCACCGCACATGGAGCTCGCACACACACACAGCTGCACATACCACCACACATGGAGCACATGTACACACACCACCGCGTGTGGAGCACACACATGCACACACGCACACACACACCACCGCACATGGAGCACGCACACACGCACACTGCCCAGCCCGAGACGGAGCCCAGCCCAAGACGGAGCCCAGCCTGACTGAGTGAGCGGGCCCTGCACACAGGTCTGAGCCGCGGAGGCCCCAGCAGCTGGCGGGCCCCGTCCTGACGGAAGGAACTGGAAGGCAGAGTCTCTCAGAAGGGCTCTGCAGGCTGCAACCAGCGTTGGGCTCACAGAGTGTGTAATGGGCGCCCCGGGCCACTGCTGGCTAGGCCGGCCACGTCCCCTGAGCTGTGGCCCGGCCTCCCAGGCCCAGGGCCAATCTGCAAGAGGAGAGAGGGGGGCAGGTGAGGGGAGGGGCAGAGCAGCCGCAGCCCGGACCTCTCCAGGCAGGCGGGGTCTCAGAGAGGCCTGGAAGGCTGTGAGGGGGAGTGTTCAGGCCATACACACACACACGCGCGTGCACACGTGGCCCTTTCATTCTGGCCTGGGTGAAGGAACCAGGGCTGCCTGGTGGCCTCGAAGCCATGGTGTCGGAGGGGGCAGGGGGGCTGCCATCAGGGCGGGGCCTCGGTGAGCAGGGTCCTGACAGGATGGCAGTGATGGCCATGACGACTGGCGAGGTCTGCCTGGCGACTGCGTGCTGCTCTGGCTCTGTGAGGTTTGGGTCCGCTCCCAGCCCCGTCACGGGGCGGGCACCATCTGCTCCAAGCTCTGCTTCTCCGTCTCTCCAGCGAAAATGGCCACAGAAGGTCCCACAGGGCGGTGGCGGAGGGTACTTGTGGCCTCGGAACCCACGTATACCCACCACAGCGGTCTGCCACAAGGACCGAGGCCAGCTGCCCCTGGGCTGAGCCCCGCCCCCCGCAGGACCCCACATGGAGCACACGTGTGCCCAGGAGACCCAGACGGGCGCTGCGGCCACCGCAACAGGGAGAGAGGGCAGCGCGAAGGGGCTGGCGCTCGGCAAAGCCACACGGGGGGTTGTGCGGCTCCCGGAGCAGCTCTCAGCTACATGTGAATGTGTCATGGGCGTCAAACAGACACAGAAAGGGACCCTGACCGCGGGGGAAGGCTGGCGGATCTCCATCACCGCGGTGCCCACGGTCGCTGGCCGACCAGCGTCCAGATAGCCCGCGACCCGCGGCCCCACGCCGCGCATCCGGCCCCGCGCACCTGGGCCTGGCATGCCCCGCTGGCGGTCTTCCCGTGTGACCGCGCCGTGGCTCGTGACCACGGCTGTGGGGGCACGGGTGTCTCCAGCTGGGGGCCCGCGAGCGCACATCGCACGTGCCGTGGTGACCCCTGCGCCGAGCAGGGGCTGGCAGCTTCAGGGACCGGCCTCGCTGTGAGGACTGGACTAGGGCATAGAGACCAAGGGGACGCGCCTGCCCATCCTCCCCTCCAAGTCCCCTGCAGCGGAGACAGCCCGCTGGGTCCCCTGTGCGGACATGACCCAGTGGGGGCAGTGCGGGGTGGACACAAGGCAGAACTCCCCCCAACAGCACGGCACGGGAATGGGCAACCATCTCCTCTCCAGAGGGTGGCTGGGGGCCAGACCCTGCAGCCCACGGCCGTTCCCAAGCCGACGTCACCCCTCCCCCCACCTTCTGCTCCACAGGCTGGAAACGGAGGGGCAGTAGGGCTGCACCCCGGCACCGGGGGCCTGGGCCGGGCGTGGGAGCCATGGAGAGCTTCATGGAGTCACTGAACAGGCTGAGGGACATCCACGAGAGGGAGGTCCTGAGTGAGTGCCGTGTGGCAGGGTCGGGGGGGCCGCGGCGGGCTGTCGTGCATCTCCACAGGCGGCTCTCACCTGGACGGACGGTCTAAGGACCAAGGCCAGGCTGAGGTGTTCCCACATGTCACCTCCAACTTTCATCAAACCCAGAAGGCAGTACTGACCCATGCGGCAGGTGCCTGGCCCCAGCCAGCACCCCTCAGTGGGGCCCTACAGGGCGTCTCCCGAGGGTCACCCCACGTCGGAGTGGAAGTAAAAGCCTGGGCCTCGTCGCACAGAGTCCAGAAATCCGGCTGAGATGGGCCCCTCACCCAGGGCGGGGTCTCCGGGTCTCGGAGTCCCCAGAAGCGAGGCTGCCCGCCTCTGGGAAGTGGACACATGGGTCCAGGGGTCCCATCAGAGGCATTCCAGGGCATTGAGCTGAAATTCTCTGCTCCCCTCCAGGACACCCGGGCCGAGCTCTGTCCCCAGCCACATGCCCGTCCAGTTCCCTACAGGGAACAGGGCTGGAGCCTCTCATGCCCTGTGCTCCAGCGCTGGGCCAGACCCTCCCGAGAGCTTCCCACAGCGCTCCCACACACTCCTGAGGGCCCAAGGGCCTGGCTCACCTCCCCAGAGACCCAGGGAGGCGGGGGGCTGCTTGGGCTAAAGAGCCCCAGCGGACCACAGTGAGGTGGCAGCTGGCACTCTGCTGGCGTCTCCCCCAGGAGCCCATTTCATTTCAACTCTAGCTGCACCCCAAAAACCCTCCCTCTCAGGAGTTAGCCAGGTGGCTGGTCACTCTCAGCTTCGGGGCCCCAATCTTCAGAAGGACGCCAGGGCCAGAGCCCCCAGGGAGGAGAGATGCCGGCCCAGACCGGTGGTCCCAGGCAGCCCCGAAACTGGGAGCCCACTTTGTGAGGGGGCCTCGGGGAGCCAGTGAGGGGACTTGGGCACAGGGTGGCGGACTGGAGAGGGACAGGAAGTACCCCGCCCCTTCCCCATCCCTCCAGGCCTGCAGAACAAGCTTTTGGAACTCAACTCAGAGAGGTGCCGGTGAGTCGGGACAGGCCCTGGCCCAGTGGGGAAAGATGGGGATGGCAGCTCACTTCACCCCTGACACCCCAGGGTGCTACCACCCATAACACGCAAGGGGAAGCAGAGGCTTGGCTGGGCGGGGCTGGGAGCATGGCCGGTCCACATCGTGCCTCGAGTGGCTGGCGGAGCCAGGGCTGGACCCCACGGCCACAGAGTGAATGGACACCCTCTCAGGGCTGGGCGGGCCCCTGGGGCACGGGCGGCGTCCGTGACGACCATCAGGCACATCCATCTGAGACTTGGAGTCCTGCGGCAAGCGGGTCCCCCATGTCCCCGTGTCCCCGTGCCCCCGTGACCCCGTGCCCCCGTGCTCCCCTGCCCCCATGCCCCTGTGTCCCCGTGTCCCTGTGTCTCCGTGCCCCCGTGTCCCCATGTCCCCGTGTCCCCACATCCCTGACGGGCTGCAGTTCTGTAGCAGGACGAGTAGATGAGACAGAAGTCACCCGGGGGCTCGAGCGTGCGCTCGGGTGTGCTGGGTCAAGCATTGCCCTCGCAAGGTCCCCTTCACAGGGAAGTCCCCAGGGCACCGGCCCCACAGGACCCCTCCCAGGACCAGGGGAGGGCCCGCCACCCACCTGGTGCATCTCCCACAGGGAGGCCCGGCGAGTGGAGGAGCTGTGCGCCAAGAACCAGCAGCTCAGGGAGCAGCAGAAGGCTCTGAAGGAGAATGTGCGGGTGCTGGAGAACAGGTGAGCGGGAGCGCCACCTGCGCCACGCTCCCGGCTCCTGCCGGTGGGGGCGGGCGGGCGGCAGGAGGATGAGTGGGGACGGAGACCCCGCCCTGGAGGCTCCGGGGCGGGGCGAGCCAGGCAGTTCCCCGCCCCCCCCACCGCAGGACTTCTCAGAGCCTTAAATAAACTGCTGTTCAAGGCTCCTTCCCAGACTGAGTGGGTCAGGGACGGGGCGGGGCTTCCCGGAACACAGTCGAGGGTACGTCCTGGACGGGCCCAGCCCCCCCTCCGTGGGCCTCAGTCTCCCCCTCAGAGCAGCCTCTTGCCTCCCCCCAACCCCGCAGGCTGCGGGCCGGCCTCTGTGACCGCTGCTCGGTCACCCAGGAGTTGGCCCGGAAGAAACAGCAGGAGTTTGAGAGCTCCCTCGTCCAGAGCCTGCAGCACGTCTTTGTCCTCAGTGAGCTCTGCACCTCGCCGACCCCTCCTGTGGGGGCCGGTGACCCCAGGGCCTGCTCACCTGACATGGGGTCTCAGGGAAAGGGGAGAAGGCAATGCTGCTGTCGGGTGGGCACCCCACACCCCCATTCACAGACAGATGGCGCAAAGCCCCCGGGGGGCCCCGGCTTGTCCCTCGCATGTCGGCCACCTGGGCTGGGGGTGTCCCTGCCCTCCCAGAGCTTCGACTCCCTTCTCTCCATGATGAAGTCCTGCCGGTCCCGCCCAATGACGTGACGCCCCAGGGACAAGCCTCCGGTGGGGAGTCTGTCACTTTCCACAGCCCTGGGGCCGGCACTGTCTTCACAACCACATCCCTCAGACAGCGAGCATTTAGGGGCGCTCGGGGCAGGGCAAGGACGGAGACTTCTCCAGGGCTGGGAGGACCCCCCGCCCCACCCCCCTCACCGCGTCCTTCACTAAGCAGTGACTTTTGCAGCCAACGAGATGACCCGGCTGCAGGAAGAGAATGAGACCTTGAAGCAGGAGGTGACCCGGCTCCGGGGCCCAGGGTGAGTGGGGAAGGCGCCAGGGGCCCGAGCACCCCAGCCCCCCAAGCCCCGCCCATAGCAGGTGCCTGCCACACGTCCACGGGGCCCCGGGGGAGGCTGGCCCAGCCCTGGGCTTCAGGTCCCACAGGTCGTTTGCCATGGAGCCGACTCCTGACCTCCCGTAGTGACAAGCACAGGACCCTTTGAAGGGACAGGAGCCCAGGGGACTCCCGGGGACCAAGGCCGGGTCCCCAGCACCGCAGCAGCTCTGACACCGGGACATGCGTGCTTGAGAAGGACAGCAAGCATGGCTCGGCCCTGCTGTGGGAGCCACGATGGCAGGATCTCGGGCAGTGTCCAGAAAGCTGCCTCTCTGGGTCACCTGGGACCCCTCAGTGGTGGCCTGGCCTTCCCGATCGTCTCCAGGACACTGCCCTCGAACCCTCTTCCCTCCAGAGACAGGCCCCAACCCCAGGGCAGGGAGGACGCCTTGGACACACCCCCACCCCTGCTGCTCCCCTCCCCTGGTGCCCGGAAGGCTGTCACCGAGAAGCTGCTGGGAGGCCAGGAGGGCGCCGAGGACGACCACTCAGGTACAGGCCCACGGGGAGAGGAGGCTGTGGGGACAACGGAGGCCGGGAGGCCGGGCACTGCAGGACCGAGGAGCCCTCCGTCCTGGGGGGCCGAGCCACCAGCCACTGCTTCTCCTCCCACAGAAAAGTTGGGGTACAGGACGTCTCCAGTGGCTAAAACCTCCCCGGGCGCCAACCTCCCTGAGCCTCGGGCCCCAGATATGGTGAGGGCGAGGGACCCTGAGCCCGCTCCCCTCCGCCAGGCAGGCCCGGCCCCTCCTGTCACGTGCCGGTCCTCTGCTGGGCAGGGACCACTGAGCCCCGTTTGACCTGCGCGAGGTCTCAGGGAGCAAGGGCGGAGGGCGGCAGCCGGCTGCGCCCTGGCTGACCCGCCCGCCTGTGCAGAGCCCACAGCGCATCGCCAACCAGCTGCACGGGACCATCGCCGTGGTGAGGCCAGGGGCCCGGGCCTGCCCCGCCGACCGGGGCTGCACCAACGGGACACCTCCGCTGCCGCCAGCCAGGAGCAGCCCGCCCAGCCCGCCTTGCGAGCACAGCCTCCCCCTGGACAGGTGAGGCCCTGCCACCGCCACCACCACGAGCAGCCTCAGCCAAGCACCTGTCTCCCTCCAACTCCGATCCCACCTTTTGGCAAGGGGCCAAGAGCCCAGGTGTCCCTACAGGTGCCCCTGCCCTCCCTTGCCTGTGGCGAAGTTCCCACCTGGACACCTCCCGAACAGCCAGGCTGAGGCCGGGGATATGGGGGGAGGAGATGGGGCCGGGCGCTCCAGGTGAAGGCAGCAGCCGACGCCCAGAAGTGGGGGGGCTGCAGAGGCCCAGGCCCCGGGTCACCACGGGCCAGGGCACGTGGCCTGGCCTCCAGAGCCCACCCTCGCCCCACCTACCTGCAACCTGGGCGGCTCTCCTCACCTCTCCAGGTCCTCACCTGTGAAGGGGGGCTGACCGTGGGCCCCTGACACTGACCTTGGCCCTCCACACCTCCCACAGCTTCCTGCGGGCCACCCGGCCCTCCGCCATGACTGACGAGTCCCCGAAGGGCTCCCTCCAGGCTGACCGCCTCTGTCTCCTGAATCGCCACCTGTCCCTGCACCTCCGGAGTCCCCACAGCAGCAGCAGTCCCCGGGCCCCCACCATGGGCCCCCATGGCTCCCGGACCCAGAGCCCGAAGGCCGGGGAGGCAGAGGCCTGGGATGACCCCGGGGGCCTGCCCGGCAACCTGGCGGACATGCGGGACCCGCGGCTGGAGGGGGCGCTGCAGCTGCTCCTCGCCCAGCAGCTGCGGGCGTGGGGACGGGCTGGCAGTGCCAGGCCGAGGGGCCCCCCCAGGCAGGGGCTGGTGCCAACCTCGCCCCCAGGCGGCTCTGACTCTGAGGGCCCAGAGAGGGAGACGGCCGGGGTGGCCCTGCCCGGGGGGCGGCTTCCACAGCCCACAGGCCCGGCGGGGCCCAGCGGGAAGACAGTCACAGCCACACAGGACCATGGCCCAGACAAGCCCCTGGACCTCTCAGAGTGGGGCCGGGGCCGGGATGCCCCCAAGCCCTCTGGCCGACTGAGGTCTCTCAGCCCCAAAGCTGCCCGCACTCCCAGTCCTGAGCCGCCCCAGGGAGCAGAGCCCCCTGCCCAGCCTGGACCCTTGGGTTGCAGCCATGGCTCCAAGGGGGCCAGAGCAGCAGAGCTGGAAGAGCCCCGCACTCTCGTGGTGAGGCCCAGTTTTGTTCTTGCCTCCACATGCCCCCGCCCTCGCCAGCGTCCACTGGGCTCATGCTTCCCGCTGCTCTACCAGCCAGTTCCCCGTGAGAAAGCCTAGCTGCCTGATTCACACTAGAGTGGACATGGCTGACCCAGGATCCCACAGGCTGTATCCCAGGCTGGGTTGTGGGGCAAGGCAGTCAGCTCAGATGAATTCAAGCCACTCACTCACTTCCTCCCAGGATCCCGCACGTCCTCTCCCGGGGCCCCACCCCAGCCAGCCGTCTCCAGGCCGGATGAAAGATGAGTCCCGAGAGAGGCCAGAACTTTCCCCCCACCCACAGAGGCCTGATGCTGATGGCCACGCAGGTAAGAATGAGTAGCGGGGAGGGAGGCATGGTGGTCAGTGTCCTCTGGGTATTACCTGTGCCAAGGCTCAGCTCAGCCCCCTGGGCCTGACGGGCCACACCCTGGGTCACGGGCTTAGCACCCCTGGCGAGACCCAGAGAAGAGATAGGGGCCCGGCGGGCGTGTCTCTGGCCACAGGCAGGGAAGGGGAGGGCACCCTAGTGATTAGGACTCGGGGACGGGAGTGAGCTGCCCGTTACACAGCGACCGAGCCAGGGGACGCTCCAGCTGGCGGGGTCGCCGCGCGGGCGCTGGAGCTCTGGGCCTGGGCTCGGCCCCTCTGTGCCTCAGTGTCCTCACCTGTGGAGTTGGTGCCACTCGCCCTAGCCTGGTGGGCAGCAGAGGCCTGCGCTCCCACTGGAGCCCCCGGCCGCCCGCCTGGCCTGACCCACACCCTGCGTCCTGCAGAGCTCAGCAAGCCGGAGCGGCCATGGCCGGTGTCGGCCGAGCTGGATGAGCCAGACTCCTCAGACAGTGAGGTGGGTCCCCAACCATGCACTTCTCGTAGGTGGGGCTGCCACCCAGGACTGCCCAGGCTCAGGGGGAGGCTGCTCGCCCTGACCACACCCCCACACCCCTCAGGTGGGCCTGAGCCCCAAGGCAGGGGTCACACAGAGCACTCCCGGCGAGGGGCCCAGGTGTTTCTGCACCGCAGAGCGAGGGCTCAGCCCACAGCAGAAGAGGAAGCGGGTTTCGTCCTCTGACCCGTGGGACAAAGGTACGCGGCCCGGGCGGGATGGAGGGTGCCGCAGCCCCGGCCGCCCACCCACCTTCCTGGCCACTGGGGAATGTCACCCTCAGACCGCTCGGAACCCAGGCACCAGCCCTGGAAGCTGTCCCAAGGCCGGCCCCTCAGGAGGAGGGGCCCAGGGCCAGGCCTGGGTGGGTGCTGGCCCCGGGCCCCTCACTGCCAGCCCGGCCAGCCCCTTCAACCTAGTGGATGGGGTCTCTGGGACCCTTACACGAGGAGCAGAGGGTGTAGCCCCCGGGCTGGGGGCTGCTGGGGGTGGTGTCTGTGGGCCCAGCCCCTCCCAGCAGGGCAGCAGGAGTAGCGCCTGACCTGAGGGTATCAGGACATCCCCACTTCCTGCTCTGGCCACAAAGGCAGCTCCGGCCAGGCCTCCAGGTGCCTGAGAAGCCTCTGCACACCTGAGCTAATAATGGACGCCACTCTCTGTTTGTCCAAGCGGACCTGCCACCAGGCAGGCCGGCTGTGGCCGCCACAATGCGCCATTGTTGCCAGGAAGGTGACCGCGGCCTGTGTTTGCTCAGGCCCGCGGTGGAGGAGGCCAGCACGCCTGTCTGATTTCGAGGCACTTCCTGTTGGGCACTATATGGAAACCACCCTGGTGGGCACGGCCTGTAGGGGCGCCCGATGTCCCCGCACTGCACTCTGAGCCTAGCCCACCCCGTCCTCGCACCCAGCCCAGGGCCGGCCTCCCCATCAGGCACTGCACCCCACAACACCCACATGGCGGTCAGTGAGAACAGGGCCCGTGCCCGGCTGTGGCCGGCGGCACCCTTGTATCTTGTGACCCGTGGGGAGGTGCCCACAGCTGCCCGGTGATGGAGCTCGCTGTTCCCGGGTGGGGACACCGAGACACGGAGTGGTGAGGGAGCTGGCCCAGGGTCACAGGCTGGTCCTCGGGGTCAGGCTTCCAGCCTGGTTCGGACGCAGAACCGGAGCTTGTCCCGCATCAGAGACAGGCCTGCACCCAGCGCCTTGGCAGGTCCCGCCCGCGAGGGTCCCGGGGACCAGATGCCCCTCCCCTGTGGCCCCAGCCGAAGGCGGGCCCATGGAGGCACCCAGCCAGCGTCTCGGGGACTCTGAGAGCGTTTCCGGTCAGCTTGGGCTATCCAGATGCCCCAGGCCCCCTGCAGGGCAGCGAGGGAGGCACGGGGGCCAGGGTCCACTCTGGGGAGAGAGTCCGCCCTCCCACCAAATTCCCACGGCTTGCCTCCAGCGGGGCCACACGGCTGCAGTGTCCATTGCTGTCAGGACAAGTCACCTCTGCCAGCATGGGCTTCTGTGCCCAGAGACTGCCCCCAGGGGCCTCAGAGTCAGGGTTCCACGGGCAAGTCCCATCCCCTCTCCGGGAGTCAGTGTCACTTCGAGGGAGGACCCACGAGGCCACCGCCAGGTGTCCTGGCCTCACCTCTGCACTCCCCACAGCCTCCAAGAAGCCATCCTGAGGGAGAAAACGGCCCAGGGCCCAGGAGCCCGAGGGACCCCGAGGACCGCAGCCGTCACCCCACAACAGCGGCTGAGCGGAGACCCAGCGAGCCGGCCCGGGGCACCGCCCCCACCCGGACCTGCTCCCCCAACTGCCCGCGGGCGGGGGCGGGGGGCACAGCCCGCAGCAGCAGTCCAGCGGCCCGCCCGGCGCAGGGGCAGGCGCCTGGCTGGGTCCCGGCTGTATCCAGAGGTGCTGGGAAGGCCGAGAGGGGGTCTTCAGCTGGCCTCTCAAACCCCTCTATCTCCACCCACCTCGGAGATGACTGGTCCCTGGCTGCACACTCTCCCCAGCGTCCGCTGACTTGTGGGGAGCGGGAGTTCGGACACACCGGGGAAAGAGGGCCTCAGGCTCCCGCCCAGCGCTGCCCCCCAGCCGAGCACCCGCATCCCTTCCCAGGCAGCGGCCCCCGCCTCCCACCAGCCCAGACTCCACGGGCATCCCAGACTCCCAGGCCCTGCACCCGGCCGCCCCGCCCCTGACCGTGTGGAGCTTCGGAGGGCGGTCTCAGGCGCCCCCTGGTGGAGTCTTGCAAACAGGCGCTGGGGGAATAAAGGTGTAAAGGATGGTGTGAGCGGTCCGCAGGTCTGGGTCAGCCTTCACCTGCCTGGGCAGGTGACTCAAGAGGCTCCTGACTGCATCCAAGGTCAGGGAGGTCACTCCCTTACAGGAGAGCAGGATTAAACCCAGTAGAGTGTTACAGAGACAGGGTGTGCTCTGGGGAGGGCCTTGGGGAACAGAACGGGGACTGCATGGCCCTCCCACGGCCCCTCCTCACCGACACCCCTGAGGCCCTGGCCCCACTTCTGCGGCGACTGGTCGGCGCTCTGCACGACCGCAGGGCAGCTCATCCAGGATTCCAGCCTCAGCACTCAGGACACTCTGCGCCTCGGCCACTGTCACTTTGGAGGGCGTGTCTCAGACCGCTGGGGGCGGGGAGCTCAAACAGGAACCCGGGCCCACCCACACTCGCCGAGCCGGGATTTAAGACCACCACCCCCACCCCGAGACTCCTGCACGTGATGCGTGAAAAGTGCCCCCCCTGGGGCAGAGGCAGAATGCAAGGCAGTGAATGGGCTGGGCAGGGCCTGGGGCACCGGGGGGCTACAGGCCTGGCTAACGGGGGCTGGGGGGGGCACTGCTCCCCACCTGGCTCACCGCAGCAGTCCCTCAGGGAAGCCAGAGGGACTGAATTCCCAAGAGAGGACCTGGGGCGTGTGTGTGTGTGTGTGTGTGTGTGTGTGCACGCACACACACGCGGGAAGTCTCCCAGCCGGCAAAGTTTGCTTTGGTTTTTCTGAAATCAAATAAAACAGAATCCGTGTGCTCCATCCACATCTGACTCGCCTGCCTGGGTGGTGGACAGCCTCGTGGGCAGTTCGTAAGAGCAGAGGGAAAGGAAAGGGGACAGACTGGGCACTGGGCAAGCCTGCGATGGCAGCAAACGAAGGTCAGTAGGAGGGGACATGCCGAGGTGAGGGGTAAGGGGCGGGGATGCATGATCATGGTGATGACTGTTCATGCCACTCGCGACCAGAAACTCACCCCCATTTCGCTGATGCACGTGGATGCCCGCGCCTCCACGCAGACAGAAGCTGTCGCCCCTCGGCCCACTCGGCACCTGCACAAGGGACGCCCGCACAGGTGTGCTGCGTCTGGGCGCTATGCGCAGAAGCGCTCGCCGAGCTGCACCACCTAACGGCCAGGACCCGGCTTCCAGCCAACGGCCGCCAGCGCTGGCGATGTCCCAAGGACACCTGCGGTCGGAGTCACTGTCCCCACTCGAAAGATAAGTAAGCCACAGGCAGGAAGCTGGGCAGAGCGGGCGGGTGGCACAGAGGTGGCTGCAGACACAGGCGGGCTCCGGAAGGCAGCCCCTGAGCATGAAGCCGCCCGCTGTCAAGTCAAGGACCCGAGCGCACAAGAGGGAACCGGCCTAGGTCACTTCGTCGCTGAGGAGAGTGCAGGACTCCGTCTGGGGCTGAAGGCCCAGGACTGGCCCCGCCTGCCATCCCGGGCTCAGACCCTCGGTCTCTTCTTCAGTGAGGAAGGCGGAGTGGCACCGCCGGCCCTCTCGGAGCCCTGCAAACTGAGGGGCGTCCCACAGGGCAGGTGGCACAGACACACGCCCCAGAGAGTAAGTGCGCTGGAGCCTAAGACGGAGACTCGACGGACACTGACCACGAACGCGCGGCCCAGCGGGAGCCCAGACGCCGAGGCGGGACTCGAACCCGCAG